GGTTTTACATATAATTCTGCTTTAATATTAAAAGCACGCAAATTAAAGCAAAAAATACTTGATACAAAAAGCAAAGTACATACGTGTATAAAAGAAACACTTGCGCATTGAGGCATGCAACAATGCTTGTACGCCTGCCTGGACAGTTTAAATATTTTGCTGTTCAAATGAATGAATATTATTGAAGTCAATATCTACCGAAGAAGAAGAAGAACAACAGCAAAAAAGTGAAATTGAATGCACTGAAAAACCATTTAAATATGCAGAAGAGCGGATTGAAAATTGCATATGATAAAAACTACTTAAGAATGTATGTGTGTGTGTATACTTATTGGAATTTCAAAATTACGAAAACAAAATTTTTGTAAAATTTTTTTTAAGGAAAATAAAGAAATGCTTTACGAAATAAGTAAAAGTATTTTTAATAGGTTGGTAGTAAAAAATTTGCCTAAAGCATTTGATATATAAAGTTTTCCGAAGAATATGTCTATAGTCAGTGCTATAGATCATTCTATAGCCCGGACTATAGACCAGTCTATACTCAGGAATAAAGATCAATCTATAGTCAGGAATACAGTCTGGTCTATAGATCAGTATATAGCCTGGACTAGAATGTCGAACCATAGATCAATGTATAGTCTGGACTATATATAGATCAGTCTATAGTCTGGACCATAGATCAGTCTATAGTCTGGACTATAGATCAGTCTATAGTCTGGACTATAGATCAGTCTATAATTTGGACTATAGATCAGTCTGTAGTCTAGACTATAGGTCAGTCGATAGTCTGGAATATAGGTCAGTCTATTGTCTGGACTATAGGTCAGTCTGTAGTCTGGACTACTGATCAGTCAATAGTTTGGATTATAGATCAGTCTATAGACTTTACTATAGATCAATCTATAGTCTGGACTATAGATCATTCTATAGTCTGGACTATAGATCAGTCTATAGTCTGGACTATAGATCAGTCTATAGAATGGACTATAGATCAGTCTATAGTCTGGACTATATTTCAGTCTATAGTCTGGACTATAGATCAGTCTATAGCCTGGACTATAGATCACTCTATAGTCTGGACTATATTTCAGTCTATAGCCTGGACTATAGATCAGTGTATAATCTGGACTATAGATCAGTCTATAGCCTGGACTATAGATCAGTCTATAGCAAGGACTATAGATCAGTCTATAGTCTGGACTATATTTCAGTCTATAGTCTGGACTATAGATCAGTCTATAGTCTGGACTATAGATCAGTCTATAGCCTGGACTATAGATCAGTCTATAGCCTGGACTATAGATCAGTCTATAATCTGGACTATAGATCAGACTATAATCTTGACTATAAATCAGTCTATAATCTTGACTATAGATCAGTTTATAGTCTTGACTATAGATCTGTTTATAGTCTTGCCTATAGGTCTTGACTATAGATCTCTAGTCCAGACTATAGATTGATCTCTAGTCCAGACTATAGAATGATCTCTAGTCTTGACTATAGATCAGACTATAATCTTGACTATAAATCAGTCTATAATCTTGACTATAGATCAGTTTATAGTCTTGACTATAGATCAGTCTATAGTCTTGAGAATAGATCAGTCTATAGTCTTTACTATAGATCTATCAATAGTCTGGATGGCTATCTGGACTTAAGATAGGTCTATAGTCTGGACTATAGATCAGTATCGATATAATAAGCTATAAACTGTCATGTCTGTGGATCTACCTTAACTGATCTTTACCATCATAAGTTTCCAACATCTTCAACTACGTATAGAAAGTGTATCAATATATCGATATATGTATATATAACAATAAAAGATCCCCCTTTTAACAAGAGAAATTTATATTTCAACTCCCTTGAAACTACAAAATATTTTTAAAAATATTCAATTATTTACATGTTGTAAACACTAAACATCCATTGTTATGTTTTCTTTTTTTACTCCTGAACATATAATTTAATATCATGCCATGTAATATAAAACAAACCCTTTTTCTTGATCATTTGATATTATGAATCGACAAAAAAATATAAAACAACAAAAGACTTTTCACTCTCGCCTACATTGTTGCACAAAAAACGAAAAAGAATTAAATTCAGATAATATCACAAAAGCAGCAACAACAACAAGACGATAAAGATGGTGATCATGCCTTGACATCCTTTTCCGTTCTCAATTTTTTTTATTGTTGTTGTGTACATATATTGGTGTGCTGTTATGACTTTTGTAAGGAAAGGGAACCTTAAGCTTGATAAATGTTGTTGACTGACTGTGGCGTCCACGCATAATTTACACAAATTCTTTAACTCCGCTTAAATAACTAACATGTTGTTGTTGTTGCCCCTGCTGATGTTTGTATAAAGTACAGTTATGGTGAGTAAGTACCATTATGGCACAAATGCCAAGACTTAAAAGAAATTATTTGAAAAAAATAAAAGTAAACGTTTGTAAAGAAAGAAAAAAGAATTCTGAATAAAAGACCGTCTGCATTTTAGTCGGTCAATAACGGGAATAAGTTATTTTAATGAGAAAATAAAGAAGACGCTGTTGAAAAGAGTACTAGAAGCAGTCGGGCACAAAAAAAAAAGACTAACTGACTGACTGACTAACACCACAATAACAAAACAACAACACCAGTTGGTATTGCCATCATTAACTGCAATAATTATTCACGGGTGCGACGACTTTTAAAGAACTGAAGACTTCTCTTTTTTTACAAATACATACATATAATATTATTTGCCAGTTTTGAACAACAACAAGAGCCACAACAACAACTTAAGAAAGCCATGTAAAGAATTTTTTTAAATTTACATTCAGTTACTAAAAAATTAAACGTACGAAGGTTTGGCAAGTTTGGACTATAGATCAATCTATAGTCTGCACTATAGGTAGATCATTCGAAAATCTGGACTATGGGCCTATAGTCTGGACTACAGATCAATCTATAGTCTTAACTACAGATCAATCTATAGTCTGGAGTACAGATCAATCTATAGTCTGGACTATAGATCAATCTATAGTCTGGACTATAGATCAATCTATAGTCTGGACTACAGATCAATCTATAGTCTAGAATATAGATCAATCAATAGTCTGAACTATAGATCAATCTATAGTCTGGACTATAGATCAATCTATAGTCTGGACTATAGATCAATCTATAGTCTGGACTATAGATCAATCTATAATCTGGACTATAGATCAATCTATAGTCTGGACTATAGATCAATCTATAGTCTGGACTATAGATCAATCTATAGTCTGGACTATAGATCAATATATAGTCTGGACTATAGATCAATATATAGTCTGGACTATAGATTAATCTATAGTCTAAACTATAGATCAATCTATAGTCTAAACTATAGACCAATCTACAGTCTGGACTATAGATAAGTCTAAACTCTGGACTATAGATAAGTCTATAGTCTGGACTATAGATAAGTCTATAGTCTGGACTATAGATAAGTCTATAGTCTGGACTATAGATAAGTCTATAGTCTGGACTATAGATAAGTCTATAGTCTGGACTATAGATAAGTCTATAGTCTGGACTATAGATAAGTCTATAGTCTGGACTATAGATAAGTCTATAGTCTGGGCTATAGATAAGTCTATAGTCTGGACTATAGATAAGTCAATAGTCTGGACTATAGATAAGTCAATAGTCTGGACTATAGATAAGCCTATAGTCTGGACTATAGATAAGCCTATAGTCTGGACTATAGATAAGTCTATACTCTGGACTATAGATAAGTCTATAGACTGGACTACAGATAAGTCTATAGACTGGACTATAGATAAGTCTATAGACTGGACTATAGATAAGTCTATAGACTGAACTATAGATAAGCCTATAGTCTGGACTATAGGTAAGTATATAGTCTGGACTATAGATAAGCCTATAGTCTGGGCTATAGATAAGCCTATAGTCGGGACTATAGATCAGTCTATAGTCTGGACTATAAATCAGTCTATAGTCTGGACTATAGATCAGTCTATAGTCTGGACTATAGATAAGTCTTTAGTCTGAACTATAGATCAGTCTATAGCCTGGACTATAGATAGGTATGTAGTCTGGACTATAGATGAGTATATAGTCTGGACTATAGATCAGTCTATAGTCACGACTATAGATCAGTCTATAGTCTCGACTATAGATCAGTCTATAGTCTGGACTATAGATCAGTCTGTAGTCTGGACTATAGATCAGTCTATAGTCTGGACTATAAATCAGTCTATAGTCTGGACTATAGATCAGTCTATAGGCTGGACTATAGATCAGTCTATAGGCTGGACTGTAGATCAGTCTATAGGCTGGACTATAGATCAGTCCATAGGCTGGACTATAGATCAGTCCATAGGCTGGACTATAGATCAGTCTATAGGCTGGACTATAGATCAGTCTATAGGCTGGACTATAGATCAGCCTCTAGTCTGGACTATAGATCAGTCTATTGTCTGGACTATAGATTAGTCTCTAGTCTAAGCTACAGATCTTTCTATATTCTGGCCTGCAGATCGGTCTATAGTGTAGACTATTGATCGGTCTATAGTGTAGACTATTGAGCAGTCTATAGTCTTGACTATAATTCAGTCTATAGTCTGGCCTATATATCATATATATCATTCATTCCTTTTCATTAAATTTCTTTCAAAATTTCATATTATTTAGAGAAAATAAATGTTCTGATGCATTTGATTCATAATTGAAAAGAGGCCTACTTTCATAAAAAATTTCCGCATTACTTAATTTCCGTTGAAGTGGGAAAAATATTCAAACAAAATGAATAATAAATATAGAAAAATACTTATAATTAATATTTGCACAAACAACAACAAAAACTCTACGCTCACAAGTGCAAATACTTAAGTGCTTAATTATCGAAGTGTATAAGGGGGAGGACATAGTGTGTAGTAAAGAAATTTAGGTCAAATATTTTTTGTATTTATATTTTAATTATTTTTCTTTTTTTTTCATACTCACATTTCAGTTCATTTCACTTCAATGTGAAAAAAACGGTAGTTTAAATAATGAAAATTGTAGAAAAAGAATTATAGTCTGTAAGTAAATAAACAAAATGTAAAGAATTAAAAAAAAATAAATATTATGTAAAATGAATATGTTTATGAAAAAGAATTTTTAATTAATTGGCATAAAATGTTTCTTGAATGTATGTGGAAAAAAATTTCATTAAACAGGGGTGTGGTTGGTTAAATAATTGAAATATGAAAGGGAAAGAATTCTTTTCTATTTGGTATAAAAAAAATAAAATAATTTTCTATAGAAAGCTAATCTTGAAAATTTTCTCTATAAAAAATTTAAAAGTCATGAAATTTTTTAAAGAAAATGCAACAATGGTGAAACTTTCTATAGAAAATTCAATAATAAATACAATTTTCTCAAGAAAATTTAAAGACAATACAATTTTGTATAAAGAACTATAAACGATGGAGAAATTTCTATAGAAAATTGATCGATGATGAAATTTTCTATAGAAAATTGATCGATGATGAAATTTTCTATAGAAAATTGATCGATGATGAAATTTTCTATAGAAAATTGATCGATGATGAAATTTTCTATAGAAAATTGATCGATGATGAAATTTTCTATAGAAAATTGATCGATGATGAAATTTTCTATAGAAAATTGATCGATGATGAAATTTTCTATTGAAAATTGATCGATGATGAAATTTTCTATAGAAAATTGATCGATGATGAAATTTGCTATAGAAAATTGATCGATGATGAAATTTTCTATAAAAAATTGATCGATGATGAAATTTTCTATAGAAAATTTAATAGATCGATTGATCGATGATGAAATTTTCTATAGAAAATTTAATAGATCGATTGATCGATGATGAAATTTTCTATAGAATCTTGATCGATGATGAAATTTTCTATAGAATCTTGATAGATAGAAAATTGATCGATAATGAAATTTTCTGTAGAAAATTGATCGATGATGAAATTTTCTACAGAAAATTGATCGATGATGAAATTTTCTACAGAAAATTGATCGATGATGAAATTTTCTGTAGATCGATTGATCGATAATGAAATTTCCTGCAGAAAATTTATCGATGATTAAATTTTGTATAGAAAATAGATCGATGATGAAATTTTCTATCGAAACTTGATCGATGATGAAATTTTCTATTGATCGATTGATCGATGGTGAAATTTTCTATCGAAACTTGATCGATGATGCAATTTTCTACAGATCGATTGATCAATGAAGAAATTTTCTATAGATCGATAGATCGATAATGAAATTTCCTACAGAAAATTGATCGATGATTAAATTTTGTATAGAAAATAGATCGATGATGAAAGTTTCTATAGAAAATTGATCGATGATTAAATTTTGTATAGAAAATTGATCGATAATGAAATTTTCTATAGAAAATTTATCGATAATGAAATTTTCTATAGCAAATTGATCGATAATGAAATTTTCTATAGAAACTTGATCGATGATAAAATTTTCTATCAAAAATAGATGATGAAATTTTCTATAGAAACTTGATCGATGATGAAATTTTCTATGGAAAATTTATCTATGATGAAATTTTCTATAGAAAGTTGATCTATGATGAAATTTCCTATAGAAAATTTATCGTTTGATGAAATTTCCTATAGAAAATTGATCGATGATAAAATTTTCTATAGAAAATTGGTCGATGGTGAAATTTTCTATAGAAAGTTGATCGATGATGAAATTTAATATAGAAAAATTGATGGATGATGAAATTTCCTATAGAAAATTGATCGATGATGAAATTTGCTATAGAAAATAGATCGATGATGAAATTTTCTATAGAAAATAGATCGATGATGAAATTTTCTATAGAAAGTTGATCGATGATGAAATTTTTTATACAAAATTGATTGATGATGAAATTTTCTATAGAATATAGATCGATGATGAGATTTTCTATAGAAAATTGATCGATGATGAAATTTCCTACAGAAAGTTGATCGATGATGAAATCTCCTATAGACAATTGATCGATGATGAAATTTTATGATCGATGATCGTTAGCAAACTTTTCTATAGAAAATTCATCGTGTTTAAAATTTTGCTATCTATTATGAAATTCTCGCCCACTTTTCCATTACTAATTAATTATTTTATGCTAAACTGCACAATAAATTGTTCCTATTTTCTTTGGGGTGTTAACATGACATGTTTGTGTTAAACACGCTGTTTTGCGAAATAATCATATTTACAAAAATATTTTTTGTGAAAATTTAACACTTGTAAAATTGTACAAAGTGCTGAGGTTAACAGCCCTCTGAGCTGAGTAAAACAAAAAGTTAAAAAAATAAAAAAAATATAAACTATTGAACGCAATTAACAAATATCAGACTACAAAGTAAACTACTCTACACAGTAGTACTAATTAATTTGTTTATGCCAGGCAATTTAGTAAAAAAGTTTTTTTCTTTTATTTGTTCAAAATATTAACTGAAAAAAAGAGGGAAGTAAACTTTTAGAATTATGCAATTATTTAATAATTTATTTAGTTTATGAAATCCGTTTAGTTAGTAGATGTTTGAATCGAATCATGGCTTGTTTAAAGATCTTCAACTTTAAGTCTTTATTTACTAATTAGAAGTAAGGGAAGAATTCCATATAAACCCTTTAGCATACTTCCCATATTGTATTAGTCTTAGTCTAGGCTGTCGTCATTATTCTTTAATGCTTTTTAGTTTTTCCAATTTAATACATTTTGTTTTTCTATTCATAAAACTGTGTTAATTATTGCAGGTCAGAGTAGGCAACATAACAACAATAACAATAAAAAAAATTGCTGCAACAGCAGCAGCCATATTAACAAAATGTAGCAGCAACACTAACTATTTATTACATCAAAGAGAAATGGTAGACAATAGAAAATTTATGCTCGAAACTAAACGAAACAAAACTGCAACAAAAACGGAAATAAATTAAACAACAAAAACTATATAATTTTTTTTTTTTACAAAAATATAAAATCACAGAACCCAGCAGTACAAAGTGACAGTCACCAACTAGTGAACCTTGATTACAGCTGGACAACTGAATTAGAATAGAAATATATAACTTCCAAAGGACCAGATAACTATACACTAAAAGGCTAAGGAATCTCCTCTTTAGATTACTTAAAGACAGTAAAAGAAAAGAAGTTAATCTTTTCTCATTTGCATTATTTGTGAAGATAACAAAGATGTCTTTTACTCAGATACATTGACTCGTTAACAAACTGCCGGAACATTTGAGACTCCAATTGAAAAAAGAACTCAGACATACTTAAATACTAACCCATACACTAATATACATGTAAGACAAACTGAATGCAACTCACTAAACATTAGGTCGGAAATAATAAAAATTTTCAATAAAAGTTGCATCATTAAACTATTTTCTGTAGAAAATTTCATCATCGATAAACTTTTCAATAAAAAATATCATCATCGATCAATTTTCTTTAAGAAATTTCTTTATTGAACAATTTTCTATAGAAAATTTTATCATCGATCAATTTTCTATAGAAAATCTCACCATCGATCAATTTTTTATAGAAAATTTCATCATCGTCAATTTTCTATAGAAAAGTTCATGATCGATCCATTTTTCAATAGAAAATGTCATCATCGATCAATTTTCTTTAAGAAATTTCACCATTGAACAATTTTCTTTAGAAAATTTCATCATCAATCAATTTTCTATAAAAAAATCTCATCATCGATCAATTTTCTATAGAAAATCTCATCATCGATCAATTTTCTATAGAAAATTTCATCATCGATCAATTTTCTTTAGAAAATTTCACTATTGAACAATTTTCTTTAGAAAAATTCATCATCGATCAATTTTCTATAGAAAATCTCATCATCGATCAATTTTCTATAGAAAATCTCATCATCGATCAATTTTCTATAGAAAATTTCATCATCGATCAATTTTCTATAGAAAATTTCATCATCGATCAATTTTCTATAGAAAATTTCATCATCGATAATTTTTTTTCAGAAATTTTTTATTATTGATCAATTTTCTTTATAAAATTTCATCGATCACTTTTTCTATAAAAAATTTCATCTTTGATCTATTTTCTATAGAAAATTTCACAATCGATCACTTCTTCTATAGATAATTTTATCACATTTTCTACAGAAAATTTCATCATCGATCAATTTTCTATAGAAATTTTCATCTTCGATCATTTTTCCATAGAAAATATTATTATAGATCAATTTTCTATAGAAAATTTCATCATCGTTCAATTTTCTATAGAAAATTTTATTAAAGATCAATCTTCTATAGAAAATTTCATCAGCGATCACTTTTTCTATAGACAATTTCATCATCGATCAGTTTTTCTATAAAAAATTTCATCATCGATCAATATTCTATAAAAAATTTAATCGATCTATTTGTCTATAGAAAATTTGTTCATTGCTCAATTTTCTATAGAAAATTTCATCATCGATCACTTTTGCTATAGAAAATTTCATCACCGATCACTTCTTGCTTAGAAAATTTCACTATCGATCACTTTTTCTATAGAAAATTTTATCATCGATCACTTTTGCTATAGAAAATTTCATCATCGATCAATTTTCTATAGAAAATTTCATCACCGATCACTTCTTCTGTAGAAAATTTCACTATCGATCAATTTTTTATAGAAAATTTCATCATCGATCACTTTTTCTATATAACATTTCATCATCGATCACTTTTTCTATAAAAAATTTTATCATCGATCAATTTCCTATAGACAATTTCATCACCGATCACTTCTTCTGTAGAAAATTTCACTATTGATCACTTTTTCTATAGAAAATTTCATCATCGATCACTTTTTCTGTAGAAAATTTCATCATCGATCTATTTTTCTATAGAAAATTTCATCATCGATCACTTCTTCTGTATAAAATTTCATCATCGATCACTTTTTCTATAGAAAATTTCATCATCGATCTATTTTCTATAGAAAATTTCATCATGGATCAATTTTCTCTAGAAAATTTCATTATCGATCAATTTTCAATTGATCAGTTTCAT